GTAAGGCAGAGGAGGGCCTTCAGTGTTCCCTCTGCATACAAAGAAAAATCAAGAGCAGCAGCTCTAAATAAAGACATGCACAGGAATCAAAATGAAATAAGGGCTTGCCAGCTCTACAAGACTATTTTCCCCTTGTCAGCATCTTTTCATATGTGGCTTAGAAGATATTTTTTTCCTTGGGTCTAGTAAATTGCCTATCTTGAGAGCTGCCTTTACAGTGCATGATTGTCCTTGCTTTGGTCACCATCTATACAGCGACACTTCTGCTCCAGGTGGGGGAATTCTGTTAAAACAGTGCATAATCTCACTCATCTCATGGTGGTCACCAGTAGAGTCAACAGATTTTTCACTCCAAAAATCAGGACATTTGGTCTGATGGTAAAATTGTACTTAGCAGGATAACAAAACATAGTCATGTGAACAAGAAAAAATTAGAGGTAATCATTGTAGCCATAGAAAACCTCATGAAGGCATGTTGATCACACTCCTCATCCTTGCTCAAAGAACAAGGCATGAAAGGATATTTCCCTTTCTATTTTCAGAAATCAATACAGCCATTTAAAATCTAATTCAGGGGCTAGCCACTTCCTTCTCCAAGAATGCATAAAATAACGAGAATTGTTATTTATCTTTCTTTATGGCTGGGTCATGTCTCTCTGAACATGTCACAAGGCCATTGGCCACTAGGGATTCACTGTATGCATGTGGTCACCCTTGCAGCAGCAGGCACTGGGCTGTGCACATAAGGCATGCACTGTTCATGCTTCCTAGTGATGTTGTTGGTCACACCACGCATGGGAGTATGTCGCGCCCGTGGATGCCACTTATAAACATTAATTAGAAGAGGGAAAAAGAAGTGACAGAAAGAAATGTACTAGAAAGGGGGGTTAAGCATAACACAAGAGGAAAATGAAGAAAGAGAAGAGCAGGACCTCCATGGTGGGTGCCACCAGCAATTGTCCAGCCATTTCAATGGCTTTAGGATTTTAGATAATCTGCCCTGCTCACCAAGAGGTCACCAAATGTGTTGCTTTATTTTGTAATCATGGATTGATCTACTTTGCTTTTTAAATGACAAAACAGTAGAAGAGAGTGTAAGATTTTCTATAGAAAGGGTCAGGGTATTAAGTTATTTATTTGGCCTTGACCAGATGGATTTAGCACTTAGAAATGTTTATGATTGTTTATTGCCATTTTTATGAACTTATCTGCCCACATCATAGAGAAAAAGGATCTAGATCTCAGCATCCCTGTACAACATGAAGTAAAGAAGGAGGAAAGTTAACTTAATTATCCCAGAGGCAATTTGTTACCCTCTAAGAAAACATAGGTGCTGTCACTATGCTGAAAATAGCCCACTTACGTTTTAGTAACTGGGTATGTTTAATTTACAGAAATTATCATTGGTTACATCATTGAATTTAATTCATCATTAGGGGCCTTAAAAATGCCATTTGCTCTGCTTGTCCTCAGGTGACATCATCTTACATGAAATGTTGCTCATATATGAAAGATAATTAAATATGGAACACCTGACTAAAATAATCTTGTACATTTTGGAGTAAATATGTATAATTCATGTTTTCAACTCTTGCCAGTTCCGTAATTTATTTAGCAGAAAATATCTACCCAAGACCCAGCTGCTTCAGAAGGAAAGTTTAGAGCAGTATCTCATATTATTTTACATATTGAGATTCTATTAGGTGTAATCATAAGACTTATTATGTGACTATCCTACTCGGTTATTATTTTCTTTTTATATTTAAGTCCATATTTGAAAGGCAAAAATGTCTTTGATGATTCCTGGTTTATAGAGAGAGACTTCCTCAGGCAATGGGTTTTCCCATCTAAATTAGTGTGTGCCAGAGTTTTGCTAAACACATGTATTTAACTCCCTTAAATCCTTCTTGCCATGGCCTGCTTTTAGTATTATAACTTCATACAAAGCAGTCCCAAGCCTTTCCTTTTTCATTAGTGTCTCTTCAGAAGGCAAGTTTTTATTTACAGGATCTCCTGATCCACAGATATGATGATTCCAGAGCTCTTTTTGTCTCTCCGGGTGTCAGCTTCTGTCTCTCCCCCAGGCAGACCATCCTTTGTTCTGCTATCCTGTGGTGAGCAGGCCAGGCAGACTCCCCAGATTTTAACTTCCAGGCAGGTGGAACTTCAAAAGGTGTGACACTCTTCAGTGGGTTGTGGAGAGTCAGAAGGAGCATGTGCCTGCCCACTTTCTGCCTTGCTCTGAAAACCACTGGTCCCCGGAATGCCCGGGAAGTGGTCTCTCCTGATTCTCGGGGACCCTTCCTCGGTCCAGCCCTTTTCTTGTCCCCAGTCATGTTTTCTCTAAACAGATGCTACTTGAATCACAGTATGGACCATTTGGGGAAGTTTTGCGTCAATGCTTTAAGTCACCGAGTAAATATTTTACTGACTTCCCACCATGGGCATTTTGCTAGGTGCTGAGTGGGTGAAACATAGTCCCTACCCTCAAGGAGCTCATGATTTAGTAGATTAACGAAGTTTTGCGTCAATGCTTTAAGTCACCGAGTAAATATTTTACTGACTTCCCACCATGGGCTGGAGTGGCATTTTGCTAGGTGCTGAGTGGGTGAAACATAGTCCCTACCCTCAAGGAGCTCATGATTTAGTAGATTAATCAATTTCAAAAGACTCCAGTGATTAAAACCTCTCATCAGTTGCCCTGAATGATTAACCCAGA